CGAACATCTGCGGGATCAACAGCAACATTGATGCTGTTCATCACTACCTGCAATCCAATCGTCCCGCCGTGCTTTTCTTGGCGGAGACAAAAATCTCAGAGACTGCACCGATTAACCATCTCAACTTCCCAAACTACGAGGTGTACTCCAATCTGAGAAAGAACGGGGGAGTTGTGGCTTTTGTCCGCAGCAGTCTTTCCTGCTCCAGGGATCTTTCTTTGGAATCAGACCGAAAGGACATTCTGTGGCTTCGCCTCAACTCCAAAACATCACCCAAATTTATTTGCTGCCTTTATCGCTCTCCCTCGAACCATAACTGGGATGACCTATTCGAATACCTCGCCGTCCAGATCGACTTCCTGAACATCAATCACCCCGCTTCAGAGGTAGTTCTTCTCGGTGATTTCAATGCCCATAATGAGCTTTGGTTGGGCTCAAATAAGACCGATGCAGCAGGTCGTGCAGTCGAAGCGTTCGCTCTTACTCAAGGGCTGACCCAGCTGGTGACGAGCCCTACTTTTTTCCCCCGGGTCTCGTCACACTCCAGTAGCCTGCTGGATCTCTTTCTGACCACGCATCCTGCCCCTTACAGCACTGCTGTCCTGTCCCCCCTGGGTAACTCAGATCACGGTGTTGTGGAGGTTAGGTTTCGGTCAGAAGCCGCTGTGGCAGCAGAAACTCGCACAGGCCGCAAAACTTGGCATTACGGACATGCCGACTGGGAGGGGCTCAGAGACTTCTTCTCTAGCTTTCCTTGGAGAGATGTCTGTTTCACCGACGCAGATGCGTCGACTGTCTGTTCTTCAATAACCGAAATTATCCACGTCGGAATGGAGGAATACATCCCTCACACAGTGAAAGCTCCTAAACCAGGGTCCAACGGCTGGTTCAACAAATCGTGTGACACTGCTCGCCAGCAGAAGATCAAGGCCCACAGAACCTACTTACAAAACCCCACTGTAGAGAACAGACAAGCCGACGTCGAGTCCAGAAACAAATATAACGAAGCGGTTCGCAATGCCAAAACCCAGCATGATATAAAAGTTAGGCACAGGGTAATGTCGCAGCGCAATGGCAGTCGGTCTTTCTGGACGCTGGCCAAGCAGATTGAAAAGAACTTCTCACACAGTAGCCTTCCACCACTTACGTGTCAGGATGGAATTATTGTATTCGACTCAAAGGCCAAGGCGGAAGTGCTAGCCAAGATCTTTGCTGCCAACTCCACCATGGACGTCCCCACCAACGCCCAAGTGCCGTCAATTCAAAGGGTTCCCCACACTATGCGGGAGGTAACATTCAGGCATAAGACCGTAAGACGAGTGCTCTTGTCGCTCGACACCAACAAAGCTTCTGGTCCGGACTTGATTCCTGCCATTGTACTGAAGAGATGTGCAGCTGAGCTTGCTCCAGTCCTTTCGCGTCTCTTCCAGATATCTTATGAATCCGGCACCTTCCCAGAAAACTGGAAATTTGCTCATGTACAGCCCATCCCAAAAAAAGGATCTAAAACCGACCCTTACAACTACAGGCCTATAGCTCTGCTTTCTGTTATAAGTAAAGTGATGGAGAGGTGCATAAATCGCGAACTTCTGGACTACCTCGAACGTCACAGCTTGATTAGCGACAGGCAGTACGGTTTCCGGCACCAACGATCCACAGGGGACCTCCTAGCTTACGTCACGCAACTGTGGAGTAAACTCATCCAGTCTCATGGTGAGGCTCATGTCGTTGCTCTTGACATCACGAAAGCGTTCGATCAGCTGTGGCACGCTGCCCTCTTGAGCAAACTTCCATCCTACGGCCTCCCAGAAAAGCTTTGCAGATGGGTGGCTGACTTTCTCTCTGGCCGCAAGATATCCGTCGTAAATGACGGATTCTCCTCTTCATTCCACAACGTCAACGCGGGTGTTCCCTAGGGGTCGGTCTTGGCGGCTCCAACACTGTTTCTCTTACATATCAACGACCTCCTTTCCTGCACGATCAACCCAATCCACAGCTTCGCTGATGACAGCACTCTGCATGCAGGGATTCAGAGTGACAAGCCGATCTCTGCCGCTGAGCTGGAAAAAAGAAGACTAGCGACGACTTCTTCTCTGACAAGAGACCTGGAGGCTATCACTGCTTAGGGACGCAACAATCTTGTACAGTTCAATGCTTCCAAAACACAGTTCTGTACTTTGACGAACAAAAAGCGTCCTAGCGCTCATACAGTTTCGATGGACGGTCGAGTTCTACCAAAGAGCCATTCATTTCGGCTGGTCGGAGTCCAGATCACCGAGGACCTGATCTGGCACGAACACGTCTCTTCAATAGCTGCAGCTGCTGGGAAAAAGCTAGGCTATTTGTTTAGGGCTAAGAAGTACTTTTCTCCGCATGACCTTCTCACTCTATACAAGGCCCAGATAAGGCCTAGCCTCGAGTATTGTTCACACATTTGGGGTGCTGCCGCCCCGACTACATTGTCCATGCTCGATGCTGTCCAGAGGAGGGCGGTCGGACTGATCGATGACTCTTCCCTAACGGACGGTCTCGGGACTCTTTCGCACCGGCGGGCCGTCGGCGATCTAGCTCTTTTCTATCGCTACACCAACGGGCTTTGCTCCTCAGAGCTCTCTTCCATGATGCCGCCGCGCGATGTGCCTTCCAGACAGACCCGCCTGACTTCGGCGTCCCATCCTAACCGTGTCAAACTTTGTGTCTAGATTGTGGAACAATCTACGGGAGGAAGCTTTTCCCAGTTCTACTAACCTTAGGCAGTTCAAAAATCGTATTAACAAAATTTCTTTGGGATCATCATAGCAGCCGCGGTGTTCCGGCATTTAGGCTTCTGCCTGCGCGGCTGTTTCGATATATAAAAAAAAAAGTATATATATGCAACCAACAATGCGTGTACGTGTAGTTGAGCAATTCCTCCATAGATGGACGCTCATAACGATCCTAGTGAGCAAACGCGGAATGACTGTTTGCACCCTAAAAACTACCTAGTCTGCAAGATGACATCTTATAGGTTTTTTGACGTTTTATAGGTTTTTTTACATATTACCCGTGCCGATCTTTAAACCAGTTTGCTTTAGATCGAGTGGTAGCTGGGTTTTGTTATTATTGTAAGTTGAGCGAACAAGATATATCAAAAAGGCGCTCCTGCTTGTTGAACCATCCAGAGACTATCACTGAAGTGGTAATATTTTTTCAAACCGTACGAAAATTTAATACTTGAGTTCTGAGTTTTTTTGATAGAAAGTGTGTCTGTAGTAGTGGCAGCAGACCTGTATACAATATCAGCATACTACAAGGAAAGCAATATCAACGTATTCTTCTAATTGGATTTTAATAACTTTGCCTTTCTTCACTAATTTCTTCTTTTTAGTTATAACTTCACTCACTTCAATTCTGGTTTTTTTTCAACAGATTTTATGATTTTCTTTAACTGATTTTCAACTTGTCTATACATATTTTTGGGGATGAGTATTTAGTTCAGTTGATAGCTTTTTTAATTGCTTACTTCTGGACTTCCTCTGTCTTTCGCTACACTTTTCTGCTTCTTTTGCTCTTTGGTCTGTGGCAACAATAGGCCTATTTTCTTTTGGAACTGGCTGTATTTCGTTTCCACTATTTAGAGGAGTATTCTGATGTATAAACTTATGAGTTTGTTTGAACAGTTGCATTGGACATTAATAGGAATTAGGTGGAGATACTTTCAATATTTCTGGGTGCGGTTTACCCCTCGGGTTTGGCAATGTCAACTTGTGGCATATTATACATTTTTGGAATCAGAATTTAAAGCTCTTTTTACTTATGCAATAGTCCAATATAATTGTTTAAATTCAAGAGACGAAACTTTATATTGAGAAAAAGTGATAATGTTAAAAGTACTTTTTTGAAACCTCATCGGAATGGCAAGAGAACATGAAAAAAAGGTTTTGAGAAAATTCTGTTTCCTTCGTCTATCCTGGAAAAACTCTAAATCACAAAACTTTCTCAGTTCCATTTTCTCAGCCTCCTCAATGTATAACTTTGCCTCCATTTAACCGACATCGTCTCTTACCGTTTCCGAGATACAAATGGTGAGAGTCGAATTTGAAACACCCGGTATAGTGAGACAAAGGTCAGAAGTGGGCCAGGAAAAATTTACAGGATATTCAATAAGCACTGGATCTCGAGAGCGGCTAGAGTTACAATGTCATTTGAGGAAAATATTGCCTAATTAAGATGTTTCATAATTAACTATTTTTTCCAGATCCAGAGCCATTTCATCCTCATCTTGAACATCATGTAAGTTTTTGATGTTGCGTTTCTGTCTGTTCCATAGCTGCTGACGAATGAGTGAGATTGAAAATCTTGCTGTTGTAGAGAAATAACGTTGCAGAAACATGGCGGCGCCCAAAACTTTTTTAATTTAGACAATGAAAAGTGATAGCGTTAATCATTTGAATGATAATTTGCTACGAATAATGCTTGCTGCATTTGTTCCGATTTTTAATTGGGAGAAAAGACGCTTCGAAGTTTGAATCCTTCTTATGCTCTAGTCACCTTAGTACCCTTGACTTAAGTACGACGCGACTCCTAGCGGCCCCTAACACCAAGAACATGTTTTTTCGAAAGTAATTCTTTATGGTCGCAATTTTGCTCAGAAGAATTTAAAAAAAAATATAGGTGATGCATTGTTAGATCCTTAGCAACCCTGATTTTTTTATAGAACTGTATAACCTATGTGTCTAGAAAGAAATGATTTTTTTTTCTGGAATTATTGGTAAGGAAATTAAAATTTTACTAACTCAGAAATTTGCTATACAATATTTATTTTTGTTTGCTTTCTTCTCGGTTTAACCATCACAATTATTATTATATATAATCTTAGCAAAAAAAGTCACACAAAATCATAAAAACAGCATTTGCACCGATTTTCCTCATATTATGAGAATTTTTAATAATAGTAATAAATCGAAACAGGTAACGTCTACTCAAATAATTTTAAATTTTGTGAGTATAGGTGTTCTTACCTTGATCATAGAGTACTACTTCCACACTGCTACCCAGCGGTATTTGCTCCACATGAACACAGCTGCACATTTCTTTTCCATCGCACCTCTTCTGTTCCTCATTGCAAACCGCCATATTTGAAGCCTCATCTGGTTGAACTAGCAGAGGAGACGGAGGGAAAGTGAAAGAAATGTTGTTCATTCTGTAGTATTTGTTCGAGATCGATGTACGACCACCTGGAAAGAAACAAATGTGAATAATACCAAGTAGCTATTACAAGACGTTGATCGAAACTAGACTACTCTGCAGCATGGTTGTGTGGAGAGCCAATTCCAAACCCAAAGTCATCGCGATCTCGACCCGATTGTGTTAGCAAATGTACAGACCCGCAACTACTATACAACAATTTTTTGACTCATTTCAAAAGTTTTCGTTTGAATATCCATTCTTCTTGATATATATACCATATTATTAACAAAAGGTAGATTGACTGGAAATGATGTCAACTATCAGATTGTGTTCCGTTTATTTCAAAACTGAACGCCATATTTTTGTTTAATGTAACGTGGAGTAATCTGTTGTAGTATAAACTCCTAAAATAAAGATGGTACAACTTAGCCTCACTTAGAAAATAGTTAACTATTCACTCGCAAACTCAGCACGGCGCATCATCGCTTAGTAATTCCTCAGCATTCGATGCAGATAGCTGAATTGTCCGACACGCGTATATTGAAAATACATAACTATCATTCAACTATTGAAGGTAAATCTACGGGGCCATCTATGATGTAAGATAAAGAATGCACACGTCGTATGGTAAAAAAATAACAGACTTTATTGCAGGAACGAAGAGTGGTTTTTGGTATTGAACAAAATCTGTCTGTGTCTCGATATAATTCTAATCTTTATAGGAAAAATAACAGAGCTGTATCGAAAAAAAGAAGTAAAAAGCAAATATTTCTTAATGGGCTTGCTTGCCATACAATTCAATTTGTTAGAATAATGGGCTTGTACCACATAGTTATGTTACCAACAGGATTCCATAACTCCTCCCTCCTACGAAAAGTTGGTCTCCAACTTAGAGAAAATTTAATTTACAGTTACAATTTGGTTCCAAAGCTGTAAGAGTCGTGAGAAAGATTTTGCAACTTAGTATGAACTATTATTTCCAAATGATTTTGGTAATAAGAAGGATTTAAAAAGCTAAAATTACTTTCAAGTAAAGGCAATGATAATTCAATCTGCTTGCAGTCTTTAATATCAATTGAAATATTAGTATTAATAGTATTTTAAGTGAATATGAGGACAATTTTCCAACATAGATGGCTTACATGTGCCTGCTTAGTAATTAAAAACATAAATGCGGATTGTTACTTAGTTTGATTAAATTGGAGCAAAATCTGTCTTCTTCAAATTACAAAGTAAAATTGCTTGGGATCTTTATTAATTCATTCCTTATAATTAACGAATACAATTCAAAAACACTGTAAGTTTTTACGGTCAAGAAGAGGTACATGAATTACGAATATGATTCATTTCGCAAAGTTACAATTGATGGTTCGCAAAGATTCAGTATCTCAAAAGGGTGCATTGTTTCAAAATCTAACAGATGATCTTTATGGTTTAAAGTTTGCAAATTTCAATGAGGATATTTATTTCCCTATGATTTAATGAAAGAATGGATAGGACGCTCAAATGATTAATTTGAATTTAAATTTATTTGATGTGCGATTTGCTCGAAGAATTTCATTTGAAAAGCCATATTTTGTGTAACAGAAACTATGCTATCTTGGATATTGATAGTATTGTGCTCAAAAGTGCCTTGCAAACCTTTTACAGAAGAAAACAACTTTTTAATTCTGTAGATTCAGTGCGTGTTGATTTTCATGTAGTTTTGGATTGGTTATATAACTTAAGTTGATAAGGAATTGAGTTTTATGACGATTTTCGATTAATCTTGAATTTCCTAGCGGCAATTTGATTACCGGAGGTGCTTTGAGTAGAGGGTTCATCAGTAGCGCTCAAATTGGTAGGCATTGGACTAGTAGAGCTCTATAAAGGATTTTTACGTTGAGGCATGATTCGTCTCAGCATGTGTTTTCTATCTTTGATTAAAATTTGATTTCCTTGTTGTTTGAAAATAGTGTGTTTTTGATATTTTGGTTTGTCCTTAGTTTGTCTGATTGGGATTTTGATATAGATCGGAGATTTTAAAACCGGAATCTTAGATACGCGTTTTTCGTTAATTTTGTTAGTTTGTTTTTTTAATTGATTATAAGAATCGTGAGCGATTTGTTCATTCATTTTGTCTTTTTCTAATATTTGTTTAAGATGTGATGAATAAGGGTCTTCAGTACTACCGTATAATAAATCAAAAGGTGTATGTTTTGTAGTAGAATGAACAGATTGATTGTAATTTAATATAACGTCAGTCATTAGGTCAGTAGTAGTGTCTGTTTTTCGAGTCTATCTCAGGATTCGAAATTTTTCTCCAATGGTACTATGTAATCGTACAATTGGTGCAATAGAACTAGGATTGCTGATGCTTCCTAAGTGCAAATGTATTTCATGAGCTTTACAATAATCTTTAATAACTTCTGAACGTAATTCTCCATAATCGGCATGAAGTGATTTTGAAAATGCATGATGTGAAAAGAAATGTTTCATTTTAGATAGTATGTCAACGTGATTTCGTGACATGGTCTGATAGGCTTGGGCATATCGACTAAAGTGGTCTATAAAAGTTACATATTTAGTATCTTCAATAATAAAAATATCTATGAACACTAGTTGGAATGGTGTGTTACTGAAAAATGAGCCTTGGATTGGTTCTTTGTAAGGTTTTCGTTCGTATTTAGCTTTTAAACAGATTTCGCATTTATTAATGATGTCAGTTATAAGGTCTTTAAGTTTTGGTGTATAGTGAGTCTTTTGGAAATGAGAATAAGTTTCATTAATTCCGTTGTGAAATTTATGATGGTACAAAGTTATTTCGTCTTTCATTTCTTGTTTGTCTAAATAAATTGGTTTAAATGCAGCTTTTTCTAGTACAATATGTTTTGCAGAAAAAGATTGTGTCATAATTTTACTAAGTATGGGCAAAAGTTTCTGATCGTCGTACCAAATTCCGTATACAATAATTTAGCCCGTTTGATAAAAGAGTGAGCTAAGAATATGTATATCAAGAAACTAAATGACCGTCCTCCTTCCTCTGAGAGAAATTCCGGAAAGCGCACTTGATCGTTGCGATGACGAATGCCGCACCATTGACGATATTGGCCTTCACCATGCGACAATCGAATGTGACGTACAAGGCTCGTCCATCGGGAGACCACGTCGCACACATTGACAAGCGACTGTTGGAGATACTTCTCGTTTTTAACCAGTACATTTTTTTTCTCGAAAACGATCAGCAGTCTCTGAAACGACGAAAAACGAAGTTGATTTTGTTTTATATTTGGCTTTTATCTCCTTGGCATAGTGGTAACCTAGTGTAAAAATTTCACTTTTCGAGTTATAGGCGGTTATAGGATTAGCGGACAGGCAGAGAGACAGATAGACGGAAATGAGTGACATGGTGTTCCCCGAATATTATAGTTTCCCTCCTGTAGGCGTTGGAGGTGTATGTACATGTATAGGCTCTATCCAAAGATTCAAATGGAATTGGAACTGGACAAGATACCTTTATGTCATGATTTTTTCAAATGAATTTTTGTATCAATGGGGTGAATTAGTCACTTTGACAGCAGTTTGACTTGGTTGTCAGATTTGATAGCTGGTTGATGAAATATTGAAAACCTATGAAAAATACGTTTGATTATAGCATTAACCAGGTGCATAATATTAAGGGGTTCAAAAAATTATTAATAATTAAGCACCCTTCAGCGATACTATAGATTCAACATATAAAACCCCTGCCGCCTATAATAGACTATTTATCACAGTACATTATAAGCGGGTTGTTGACACACTGATGGCACGACGGACTGAGCTTTCAACAGCTGCCATAGAAAACCAATTTTTGACGCAATTTTGGGCCTAGCAACATGCAGATTTGTTAAAAGCGGTCATTTTGAAATTTTCACCTGCCACTTTTACGCTAAAATACCTGTTTTATCACATCAAATTTCTGAACAAAAACTTCAAAAAACGAGTTTGAGCGATTTTTTCTATTTTTTGCCTGTAGTTCCGCCCCAACTGAATCAATTTTCAAAATCGACAAAGTTTCTTCTTTCTTGGCTTAGTAGTGATCTGATCTCAAAATTTCATAAAAACCGACCGATACTATCAGACTTGTTACAGGGTCCAAGGATTATTATTTTTTGTTTATATTTTGGTACTATGTACCTTAGGATGTGATATACTGAGTGAGAAGCCTGATCCCAATAGGGCGTTGCAGTGAAAAATGCTCGCACTATGCTCGTGTCTGTGGTTGGTAATAAAAAGTTAATGCATGTACTGCATATGCTAAAAATAAAACCCTGATGGCTCTAAAAGCATTCAAAACTTTTAGATGACATAAACATTTTATGAAAATTAAAATCACTCTGAAAGGCACAGTAGGACAATAAATGTCATATTCGATACATAAACTGTATCGAATGTGTAAATGTGCGCGCATCCACAAGGTAACCTGAAACTGTGTTACATTTTAGTGCAACAGATATTGAATATAGGCTTTATGGAATACCTTTGAAAATTGAGGACATAAATTGAATTACTAACTGGAATACATGAACATGCTGCTAGAATTAATCTATCAATTTATATGAGAAATGCATCAGTTGCAGCATTTGCAGATAATTATATGGTTTTGATTGCAACTGATAGATATTTAGCAGGATCTGTTAGTGAATTACAAACTGATACTACCATTTTAGTGGAAATCGAGCTTACTAAGTCAATATCGACCCAAATTAGAATATCCCAATTATAGTATAAGCCATAAATGGGGGTCAAACTATATAAGAGAGAGAGATAAGAGAGCTTTGATATCTTAAGACACGGACATAACATTTCCGGAGACTTTTAAGACCCCTTTAAGAATAAGGAAAGGCTTCTACGAGTTCACAACTCATTACCTCTCATTACGAGATGAAACCCCTCAAATGACTGGATTAAGTAAATAATATACAGTAATGGACAAGTGTATATAGACAAATTAATATTGTGCTGTATTTCTTTTTTAACTTGTTTTATTAATACACCAACCTGTATACATAATACTCACTTACAT